GTGTGTGTGTAGTAGTAGTAGTAGTAGTAGTAGTAGAGAGAGAGAGAGAGAGAGAGAGAGAGGGAGAATTTGGATGGGGCCAAATGACAGACAGAGAGCGTGTGCGTGTTTTGGATAAGGAGAGAAAGAGAGTGTTTGATTAAGTGGATGATGGCCAATTAGCGTGTTTGTTTAGTGGAAAGTTTGCCTTCAGAAGTTAAAACTTCTTGACATTTTAGCTCCACAGTGGCCATGGAAGGAGCGGATTCTAGTTTCTTTGTTTTTTGTCATTCTTGGAACTGCCTTAGAAAAATCGAGGAAGCAAAGGAAGCTGCAGAAAAATTGAGGCAGAAAAGGAAGCTGTCGCTCCTTCTGTGCACACCCGCAGGAGCCCAAATTTTAAGAGGTTCGGCTTTGGAAGCTGAAACTTCCCCTACCATGATTATTGTACTTTATAGACATAAGAGCACATCTCGATCCTCAGATTTCAATCTTGCCGGTTGAGATGGACATTCTCCATCATAGACCTTAAGTGAAGAAACATGTTCACATGAACCACTTGTTGTGCACAATAGACAGTCTAGGTGTCCTGTTTATAGATTGTAGTAGATCATTAGAGGTGGCAAAGTCTAACCGTCGGGGCCCGGGTCGGGTCTAACCATCAGGTCATGGGTCCGATCAAGTCCATTGCCATGATGTGAGACATGTGAGCTATGACTGTGAGTCTTTTTTTTTTTTTGGTTGCCTTTTTTCTTTTGCCTTTTTTTTTTTTATCATCATATACCCATATTATTGGCAACATTTACAATATTGCACAACATTCATGAATACCTACATAAACCCTCATTTCTTATTATTTTATTTAATAATTGGAAACTCCTAAAAAAGAAAAACGTATTGGCAACATTTATGAATACCTATATATACCATAGCCAGACCCGACCCGAATAATATTCGGGTCCCGATTTTGGAGCCTGGCCCAAGGTTGGGTCTATCTGTCGGGTCCTAAGTCTGGTCGAGTCCATTGCCACCCCTATAGACCATGCCATGTACCTTGATTCTTTTCAATACACCAAAGGACAATGAAAGTTGGGAATTTATCACCATGTTGTTTTTTGCAGGAAATTTAACATGAGAAACAATAAAAAATAACTAAAATGCTCATGATCACAAACAAGGCTACGTTAGTTTTAACTTGAATAGCCATGTTGTCAGATTCTTTGTGTTTGGTTGGAAAAAGGATGCACTTTGGTTTTTGGCAGAATTGGTACAAGTTTTATAAAATAAAGAATTATATCGAATCAATACATTTTTCATTTTCTTAATTATAAGGTATGTTATCTAAAAATTTGAAGAAATCAGAGATATTTATCGAATCAATACATTTTTCATTTTCTTAATTATAAGGTATGTTATCTAAAAATTTGAAGAAATCAGAGATATTTGTCTAAGAAACATCTAAGAGCTTGAAATTCAGGATATGGGGCCTCATGGATTTGCAAGCATTTCAAAGGGGTTTCAGGTCCTCAATTGATCTCCAAGCTAGATGAATTAGACTTTAACTCTTTTAGGAGCTCCAAATTCAATATCGGGATAAGAAATGGATTTGCAGGTGTTTTAAAGAGATTCCAGTCCTCAATCGATCTCCAAGATGGGCATTTGAATCATTGCTCCATGAAACTGTGGCCTTACCAAATATTTATCCCTTGCATTAATGAACCCAAACTCGAAATACTCAGCAATAAAAGGGTTAATCTAGAAAAGGGGGACCCTTTTATTGCCGGTGAAACTTTTCTTGTAAGAGTAAAGTGCCAGTGTCCTGCGCCATCTATTTTAGCATGAATTTGCCATTTTTAAAGAGGTATCATAAAGAAAAGTATACAATGAGGTCATTTATCTTTGGTACAAAGTGGTCACAATTAATTTCGATCATGTAAAATTGGGTCACTACGTATATTCCATTGACCAAGCTCAAAATTCAAAAGAATTTTTCTCGAACTTTGTAATTCATCCAAACTATCACATTTCACATTTGATAGTTATAAATAATTGTGATCTCTTTATACTAAAAGTAAATTGTTTCATTGTAAATAATCTCATATCATAATTTGACACATTTTTTAAAACAATATCAAATTTACGGTGTCAAATTAAAATGGATGTGCAGATCACTTCACATAAAATTTGAACCCTCGTATAATAAACTTTTCATGTACGTTTAAGGTATTAATTTCCAACATTTATCCAATAGATTTGAAAACCCAAAAACCTACTATATTAGATTTTATAAGACTCGAATTATTTCTTGATATATTTTAAAATTATTAAGGGTATTCTAGGGGCGTCATTTCACACTACCCCCAATCCATATATTGTAATATTCTATAAATTATCGAGTATATATGTAAGAGGTTAAAATGAATTTCGGATTTAAAATAAAGAAAGTTTGCCCTTTCTTAAAAATGCTACTTAAAAAAACAACATAAATTTAGTTTCAAAAAAAAAAGAAAAAAGAAAAACATAAAAAATCCAAACACTATCTTTTTAATTTCCTTGTAAAATTGGTGTACAGTATGGTCACGTATTTACAATTTACATGAGACAAGAAGTAGGAAACCATTGCCATGGAAATATAATTAAGAAAACAAAGGAAATATATTTAAGAAAACAAAAAACAGAGACAAAAAAATGGGAAATAAAACTCAGGACACAAGAGCAACAACTTCTTCCAACACATGCACCGTGTCGTTATAAAGGTTTTGGGTTTGATCCACACTCCGGGTTCTCAGGGCGCCGGCCAGCTAAAAAAAGAAAAAGAAAACCCAATTAATGATCCTATTCTATATAAAAGAAAATGAAAATAAACAACTAGAAATTATACCAAATATGAAAATCTACACTATCTGTTTCAGTTGGACAATGCATATTTTGACATCTCTTTTAAGACAAAATCAAAATGTGACCCAGACAGTAATAAATCTATACTGTCCAATCAAACTAGATATTGTAAATTACTACAACTTTACTTCTACAAGGTACCTAGGTTATATAAGTTTTTCTATATATAACAAAAAAAAGTGTGTATTCATGTGCCGATAACCGGGCTAGCCTAACCCAATATTGGTGTTCTAGAATCAGCTGAAAATGCATGTTTGATACAGATTCACTAATGTTACTTGGTCGCACCATTCCCCAAAAGACAAGTACAGATAATTTTTCATTCTCTTCCTAGGGGGTAGAATTCATGGGTTTCAGAGTTTTGAGGTTAAGAAGAAAGCTAAACATGTCCCCAAACATGTTATCAAACAGAGTATTTGTCCTCTTGTCGACTCATGGTCTCTAGAAACTAGGTTTCTAAAAACCAGAATTTCAAAATCTGGCTTTCGATATCCTTGTTGTCAAACATGTCCTTAATATTTAATGGTAGGTATGGATCTCCGATCCTTTCTAAATCTAAGATTGGTAATCTTAGTTAAGTTGAACCTTAAAATTGGGCCTGGCTCAATTAGTCAATGCACAAAGATTTGACTGAGGTTATATAATTACAAGATTATATATAGTATTAGGCCTATCCTCCCATAAATGAGGTCGGTATGTTTATATACATGGAAATCAAGGGTACTATGGTCATTATATAAAGGGTAAGGTGCACCTTCAAATTTATCATGGTATATACTTTTGATGTAAAATGTTTTTAGGATTATCTCAAAATCTATTTTTATATTTAATTATAAATTTTAAATTTAAAACATGGTTAAAATCAAGTAGATCTATGAACATATGAATATCTTGAAAATGAACGGTGTAGATAATACGTTGTAAAATGCACTATTTTTTAGACTTAAAATATTTTTTATTTTTCATAGTCATACACCTCGATGTTGAGATGATCAATCAAAGGGTTTTTCAATATTAAAACTACATTTTTCGATGGATTTTTTATGGGCATCCGGAGGTCTACATTATAAGGTAGCATCTTTATATAAACTTTTTCCTCATATAAAATAGGGACCCTTTGGTCATAGAGGAGAAAAAATTAGGATGATTATTCTCACTACAAACATTTCTTATATTAAATAAAGTGGAATTACGACTGTATGATCCATGGACTCTATGGTCACTAGTGTCATCATCGTCCATCAAGAGATGGGACCGTGATGGAGGGAGAGAGGGTCCACCAAGCTCGCCATTGATGTAATGGTGCACCACACACTCCTACCATCACCATCCAATTTATCAACGGCCGATAATGGGCCCTAGTGACCACAATATTACCATGACCAGATGGACCATAGAATATTACCTGTTCAATGTAGCTGAATAATTTGTTGGCTAGGTCTGTGAGGGCTTGCTTCTGATCAGGGGAAGAGGAGGAAATGAGTTTGTTAAAATCACAGTAAAGAAATGTGGACCTTAGCCTGAGGTCCCTCACCACCAATTCCCAAGACTCCTGGTCCTCCTCGATTAGATCCCAAATTGAGAGCAAATCATAAGCACACTTCTTGATCCTAATGGCACTTCCCTTTCTGTCCATGTTAGCTGCCCTTGCTCTAACAAACCAAAAAGCCCAACAATCAAATAAATACACACAAAATTCAACAAGGATCACACAACTATCAAGAGAGAGGGGATGGGGTGGGGTGGGGTGCGGGTTTTCATAAAAATTGCATGTAGAGAGATGGGTATGGGGTTGAGAATTTACCCGATCCGGATGATGGATGGGTATGTAAGAAAAACCTACCACATGAGGATGGCTTTTGTGTGTGAGATCTGGGAAACTAGTACACAAGATTCAAAGAAGAGTAGAGAGAAGGGAAAAAGGCCCCCTACATGCGTATGTGTATGCATATGCATATGCCTGGATATGTGGCTGTATACATGTCTAACATTAAAAAATGGCCACTCATTCGATAGGTTTCCATCTGTGGTCGATTTCCACAGATATGGGTGTCCAACCTACCCGTTGAATAGACCCGATAGATTGGATCTAGGTCCAGCCCTGACCCACCTAAACGAGACAAGTGTGTATATGTATAAATCCGACCAGGACTTGGGCCAACCGGTGGGTCAGCTCCAGGTCAACCCTGGACTGATGAAGTTGACCCTACCTGGACCCGACCCGTTTGCAGCCCTAATCCAAGGCAGGCAGCCCAGAGAGTTCTAAAACCCTACGTATGAGAGATACAGAAGCCATTCAACGAACTGTCCAAAACTTTGAGGAAGACAAAATGATGTCAGAGGGAGAGAGAGAGAGACCATTCTGAAGTGAACCAAGAGAGAAAGATTCGGCACCTACTGTCAAAAACTAATGTTGTAAATGTTAACAGGTGTGTATGCCATGGAAAAATTAAACTAATGCTGTAAATGTTTAACATCCAAAAATTATAGGAACGGATCGAAATTGCATGTGCCTGCCCACCTCAACTCCCCATGCTACTTTCTCTAAAGCGTGCTATTTTGGAGGTTTTCTGTGGCAGATAATGCCCCTTCTCTCTCTAAACTATGAAAAATGACCAGATATGCCCTTCTCAATGATCTTGTGGGACCACGTACATTTACTCCCTTAGATAAACCTGGCGTCAGGACTCCAAAATTTGGGATATAACTTCATTAACTTCAAAAGAAAGGGAAAAAAAATTCATTTTGCTCTCTGTATGTGCTTGAAAAGAAGAATGTCCTGGTATTAAATAGAAACTACTAAATTTTGTCAAATTTAAGTATTTAAAAGCAGAAAATCTAGCTTTCCTTTCGAAAATACATGGATATTCATTCTAATGTGGACCCAAACTTCATATGGAAAAAGGAAATTATTAAGGTCGAGGGAGCAAATACATAGTAAGCTCCCACAAGACTCTTAAAACAAAGGTCGAATCATGCCCCAAAGGTAAAGATGCCATACACAATGATCACAAAGAGCGGGTGATCCATTTCTTTTCAGGAGAGAATATGGTTTGAAGTTGGCCAAGGTGTCACGGCCCACACCACATATCCCAAAAGCCCATAGGACAAAAACAAAGAAAATGGGCATCCCAAAATGCCACGCATTTTTAGCTTTATTCTTAAGTCTTAACCGACCCTTCATTAAATCCCATTTCCTCTCCTCTCTCTCTCTCTCTCTCTCTCTCTCTCTCTCTCT